CACATGATGTTATTGTTCTCTTTGGATAGGTAGAGCAGGATCATTGCTCACCTTGCTCCCCAGTCACTGGGGTGAAAGAGAGAGCATCATCTAATTTAGTCAGAAGTACAGAGTCTAACATCCCAGATGAGTATTTGGGGAGACCACAAAGAGAAGAGGAACGCAGCCACTGAATTGCAGTAGAATAAAAAAGGAAGGTCTGTTATAAAACAAAGCTTGGTTTCTCAGCGACTTCATTTTCCAAAACTCTTGCTATTTTTTTTCCTGAAGTGCTGAATATTCACAATGTCATGTGAAGTCAGTAGGAGCTGTGGGGACTCAGCACCTCTGAATGCTGGGCTCAATTTTATGGATGTCATTGACATTTCCATCCCTCCATTAGTGCACATCCAGTGTTTTACATTCCTAGTGTTTCTTAATCTCTGGGCAGATTCTGTAGAAAATAATTTGGTGCTAGGATCAAATTGCACTTTGTTTACTTGTCAGTTACACAATCAAAGTTTATAAATATTTTTGGCTGCCTTCTGGTTCTGCCTCTGACACATAAAACTTACAGCTCCTTTTATTCTCGGGTAGGATTCTTGTTCCCTCGTAATTTGCTGGCGTTTTCAAATATGCTTATCTTCCTATTCTGCTCGCCCAGTGATTCTGGTCATTAGGTTGATGTCAAGCGCAACTTTGTGCCCCACATTCTTGCAGTTGGCTTCTTCCAGACCTTACCAGTCCATGAGGTGTTAAGAGGTTTGCAGATGCAGAGCTTTATAAGCCTTTGTTTGATTTCCTCAGCTTAAAGCTAGCTGTCTGTCTGTGGATTTTTTTAATGTGGGTTTTTTTTTTTCCCGTGGCTGTTTATTCTAGTAGCAGGTTAAACTTTTTTGTGGAGTCTCTGGTGCTGCAATTTGTTAATGCATTGTTAAAAGATCCTGCTTTCATGGCCTGTAGTGTATGGTTAAAAAAACCCAAAAACATGCTCACTGAAAATTGTCTGATTGAGCACCTCGATTCTTCATCTGAACCTGAAATTTTCAAAGAAGTTCGTAATGGTGTGACTTCATGAAAGATCTCTGCAACATTGGTCCACTCATCTCTGTCTTTGCACTGAGTGTAGGAATCTCTGGGATTACTTCGTGTGTGTTGTAATATGTGGTTTATGTTTTAATGGCTCCCACTGCTGCTCTTTATGTTCACTTTAAAAAAAACCCCAAACTTGTATGTACTGTGCATCAGCTTCTGCATTCACTAAAATTCACTACAGGACTTAAAATACAATGAATGTGCTGAGAGGTCATAGAAATACTTTTAAGAGATGAGAGAAAATGAGTGCCTCTTGTAATGTCTTTGAGAATTTTGAGTGCGATGCTCACATTCGGAATTAAGAAGGAATGGCTCTGCTGTTTCAAGGACCTTCTTCAATCAAGTTAAAAAAACCCAACCAGATAAGTGTTAATTTTGCGAGTGAAAATTCCCTTCGGGGAAGCTGTGAGGGGAGTAAAGCAGTAAAATAATTTACTATGGAAAACATACTTCCACTTGCTTGAGTTCCAGTCTCTTTTTTCCCCCCCTCTGCCTCTCTCTTTGAAGAGGGGTAGGGGGAGCATCTGTCACTCGCCCAATTGCCAGTTCATCCTGAACCACAACATTCTGCTTTACCTTGAGACTAATACATTACTGTGAATTCATGTGTTCACCATGCTTTGTACGCCACCAGATAGCACTGCGATTCCTGTTTTCATTATGGTCTGGGTTTTTTTTCACTCTTAAGCCAATTGCATTTTGAATATGGTCATGAAAGAGTTTTTTATTTATTCAGAGAAACCTCAGAATAGCTGATCACCTTTGCGCTGCCTGAGATGCCACGTCACCGTAAGGACACTTCCTAGTATTGGCGGTGTGCTGGATGGAGTAATGCGGGTGCCCGTCGGTGGACAGCCAGCTTCTGCGCACTGCAGGAACCTGATGCCTCAGCTTCGGGTTTCTTTTCTCACAAAACATCATTTCACGTATATTACAATTAGATTGGTTTAGGAAATTATGGAAGTCAATCAGTTTGATTGGGGGGAAAGCAGATGAAATTACTCTCAGTGAGAGCTGTGTTGTGGTGTCAGCTCTCCGACTTGTGTTGTCCCGTTGGTGCCGCAGAGCCTTCTTACTGAAGAGCTTTGCATGAGACATTCACTGTATTTAGTGCAAAAAGAAGCAGCAAATTCATTTCAGCACTCAGGCGACTGGGTTAGTCCAAGGTCGTGCTAAGGAGGTGCAGGACAAGCACGAATCAGTTCCCGTCTCACTGAGGGGAGGAGCTGAACCCTGCAGCACTTGGGGCTTCTTGTCGCTGGTGTGAGTGTTACTCCAAGTGGCAATCTGCTCACCTTTTGTTCAGAATGTAAAACCAAATACTTAATCTTCTCATTTCCCAACATTATGAGGCTTTGGCAGTATGAGCTGTACCAGTTGTGTATTTTGGGTGGGGTTTTTTTTCCTGCTGTTCTGCGATGAACAGAGCAGCCATTTGTTTATTACTTTGAGTTTGAATCATATTGAATGAGATGATATATCACTGTGGAAGCAGTGTGTGTCGCTCTGCTGTCACTAACCATCATGCACTGCCATTCTGATACTGTGTCGTAAGCCTGCCAGAAACCCAAAAGCAGTGGTGGTAAAATGAAGAACGTTGATGTTTTCCTTAGGCTGGTATGTAGATGAATGAAGTAGTGAGAGAAATGCAACTATTTGATGAATTTCCTACTGTTCCTCTCTGCAGCTGCGGAGCTTATGTGGTCTCTTCCCAAAAACTGGATTTTTGTTTAGTGTCAGCAGTGCTTGGATGCTGCAGTGACACACATGATTTAGAGTCAGCCATTTTAATGCAAAAGAAAGCTTTCACTTTCACAGTAGTTAATTTTTAATATCAAAAATGGTGTGATACCACTCCACTTTCACTTTGCACTGAGGAGATCTGTACAAGACAGACTGGAAGACAAGTTGGCTTGGGCTGACAAAGTATTACACATGCACTGGGATAAAAAGTGTTCCAGAGGCTGGAAAACCAAACACTCATCTGTTCAATAGTGCTAGCATTACGTGTACAATAATAAATCTACATTCTCTATATCTGGGGTTATATTTTCAATCCTATTGAATACCTTTTTTTGTTTTTCCCTGCAAACCCTTTCCTCAATTGGTGCACAGAAGGTATTTGCTTAATGAGCAAGCATTTTGTTATTGTTCAGTGCTAAGTCCTTGGGCTTTATTCACTGAACACTTCCAACTCTGCTATGGGGATGGAGTTTCTTAATTTCACTTCATGGGTTTTCCTCTGATCTCATTGGTCTGAATCAGTGCCTTCCATTAGTATTGAACCAACTTTTGCAACATGAGATGAGGATATTTTTAGTGTCTCTGTCTGTTCTCTTAATGTTAAAATATTTGTTAAAGTCAAAAGTATCCACTTGCTTTGCCAAACTGAAAGCCAAAGATGGATTTTTCAGTGCTTGGCATTGTGTAACACTGTACTCAAGGAGAGCTGTGTTTGAAATCAGTTGTTATTTTGAGGGGTCAGCAGTTTGGCAAATACCTCTCTGGGATTGCGGGATGGGTGCCTGGAAAAGTTAAGAGCGTAGTTACCATTTCTAAAAAGTTTGATTGTAGTGACTGGCTTAACAGCAAGCAAACAGTAGGTACAAAATAAGAGGTAAAATCTTTTTCTTGAGGTAGAATCTTTTCTATTTTTTTTTAAACAGAGAAGCCATACTGTCTTTCCATGCAGCCTCTTTCCTTGCTCACTACAGTTGCTAGCATCTACAACTCTGAGGCGTGTGTTTGCTTCTGTTATGCCTCCTGATTTACCTGCTGTGACAAGGCAAGCAACCTGGGGAAAAGAATATAACATGCAGAAATTCCAAAAAGGTGCCCTGTATTAGTGTGGGTTTTTTTACACTAGTTCATGTTCGCGTGCCTTTTCTCAGGGTTGCGTTCAGTGCAATAGCGTGGCTTCCTGTGCGTGTACGGACAGGGCTGGAACCCTCACCCGAGTATGCTCCCCTGCCCTTTCTGTCAGCCGTGGCTGCAGCAGCAGCGATGGATAGCCACACTCTCTGTGGGCCTCTACAGAAAGGAGTGTGCCTGGATAGCAGCAGCAAGGGAACGAGGTGGGAAAGGTTCAGTCTCGGAGGGATCATTCTCAGGGCCAGGCATCTGCCTCATGTTGGGGACTTGTCACTCTGTGTGAGGGCACTGAGGTCCCATCTCTCTGCCTCCCCATACACGAGAGTCATCTTGCATGTCTGCTCTGAGTTCCGACCACCATACTCATATACCCCTGCATTTCTGATGCCCTGTCTCTAAAGCTCCTCATTTTTTCCCAGTCCCAGCTCTCTCTTCCAACTCCTGAAATCTGTTCCCTTCCTCAGGCTCTTCTTGCTTGCTGTAGACAGCCTCCCGCCTTCAGAAATCAGCACAGAAGTGTTTAAGCATGTAACAAAATGGGGAGAACTGATATGTGAAAACAAACAACTGATTTGTGGCAAGAATTAGGACAAGGAGAAATTACCTGGCAGATTTGTCAATTATAATCTCCTAGTTAGGGTAGAGTGAGGCTCTGCTTCGTCTTTTTCCCAAAGCTGTGCGTGATGCTGAACGCACGTGGCAATTGCTCAAAGCGAAGGCAACGTACTGTAGAATTAGAGACTTTCTTAAGTCTTTCTGCTGGTACTTGTCCTTGTTCGGTCTTCTGAATTTGTCATAAAACCGGATTTTTCTGGTCTACTGTGTGGTTTCATTTGCAGTTTCAGTAACCTTTAGCTGTTCACAAATGGGTTTGGTTTTCCTATAAATGAAAGAGAAAGCAATTTTTTTTTTCCTGTAATCACTGTGCTTCAGTCATTTTATTCTCACAGACTCCTGAACTTTTTTCTCCTAAAATTCGTTTAGCAGCATTATTCCCTGTTGCAGCAATCAAAAGATAACTTAAAGCGTCTTTTCCAGGATCTTAACTCGCCAAGATGCCCATCAATGTTGATGATGTGATGCAACTGTTCTGCCATCTCTCTCAGGAGAAGGGGATGAAAGCTGCTGTCAAACACTCTGGTCGAGGAGCGCTGCTGGCAGGTGCAACAGCATTTCTTGGGGGTCTGGTAGGAGGTCCACCTGGAATTGCTGTAGGTAAGTGTGTTTTGCTTTAGGAACAAGAAGTGTGGTTAACTCTCTGAGTGAAGAAACTAGGAAGTCTGTGCAGTAGGTATGGGTTGAAGGAAAGGTGCATGTAGCACTGAGATTGCATGTAACTGGGCTTTAACAAGATGCCATTTTACCTGTCAGCTTTTTAGAAAAAAGGTGTGCATCAGGAAGGCGTACGTCAGTGTTTCCTTTTGGGGTGATAGTGACCTTGCTGACTTTGACTCCTGTGCAGCAAATGGGAAGTCATCCCGAGGTCTGAGGTTGAGATAGTGGCACCTTTGAAACCCTTTGAACAAGCCATTAACAAACCGTTTGTTTTTGGTTGGTAGAGCACTGGTTCCCATCTGCTGAGGTACACCAGTATCTGAGGTGTGGGACGACACAGAGAGCAAACTAACAGGCTCTGAGCTCATTAGTGCGGGGTCTGCTCCAGCCTTGCGGTGGGGGAGTGAAGAGTAGAGGGGTGAGGCAGGGGCAAAGGAGCACAAGAGGCGATGGGAGCAGTCGTGGGGGGGATGTTGGTACCTGGTGGCACAGAAGAAAGGAAATCGGGGTGTAAAGTGAGGGTGAGTAAGTATTCTTAGACAGCCTTAGCAAGGGACAGGATCATCTTCCTAATGATCTTACTGAAAGTGATGTTTATTTCTGTATTTTAAAAGTACCAGCTATCCACTTCTTGGTGAACTTGTTGGTTTTTTTTCCTCTGGAATTCATTATTCCCTGTCACTTTGCTTTTTTCCTTGTATGGAAAATTACAGGAAGGTCAGAGTCGAATAGTAGAGTCCTGTCTCCTCTGTATCTTTTGAATGAAGAGTTGTCCAGTTTGAAAGCTGCCTTGTCACTGAAGTCATGGGCCTTAGTCCGTGAATGCTCCTTACTCCTGCAAGCAGCTCCAGCAATTTCACAGGCTTACTGGTATTGGAGTGATTTGTAGTATGCCTGCGTGAGGGTTAGCGAGGTTGAGTTACAAAAAATAAGCAAATAATATGTGAGGAGTGATAACAGAAAACGCAATATAAAGCTGTGTATTTACTCCTGTTACAAGTACAGAGCTTAATTAATAGCCACAAATAATATTTTGACAAACGTATGACTGAAGTTTTCAGGAACAAAGAAGTTAAATTAAGCTTTTGTAAGAAATTTGTAAGCTGTAAATCAGAAGTAAAAGTGAAAACGTAAGTGGCCTCTTGAGTGAGGTGATGAGAAACACTGAAGTTATTCTTGGATGTGTTTTCTCATTTTGCTTAAATGTTTGTTTAATCTTTCATAATGTCTCCCAGTCAAGCTCCGTGTTCTTCAGCCACTGATGAAGGCACTGGAACAAGTATACCTATTACTGTATACCAAAAGTATACAATAATAAGTATATATAATAAGAATAATAAGTACTAAATATACCAAAAGCCATGTCCTGATTACAGTGCAACTGAATCAGAAGACCCTCATTTAACTTTTAAAATTGCAAAGGTAAATGACCCTGGGTCTTTAGTGGATTTTAGGACAGTTACAGGGACATTTGCCATCAAGCGCGCTTTCACTTAGACAGACAGCCTGGATAGGCGTGGGACTGGGTAGCAGGGATTATCCTTATTGCTGCCTTGCACCAAGAATTAGAGGATGAGTTACCTTCCATCTGCAGTGATCACTGGAGAAACTTGCAGCATATCATGCTTTTTAAGGACTGCTTGCTCTGGGAAGAATGGGTTGTGGATGCGGTGCTTGGGGGGAAAAGTGTGATCATGTAACAAATCTTGTCTCAATAGACAAGGAAGTTGGACATCAGTACTTCTAGTGGCTTTTGCATTAAGTGCCCCTAAATCAGGTATTGATGTTCTCATAAAAGTTCCTTGAAGATGAATTCAGCCATCGTAGGCTTTCAAGTATTTCTGTGGTGTCATGGGAAAAATTGTCAACTGAGTAAAAGCTGCAAATCACAGAATTTTTGTCTAATGAAAAACTGCATCCCTGTGAGCGCATAAATGACTTTTTAGGAGCAGTCACTGGGGTGGGGATTTTGGAGGCAGAGACAGTTCTGACACCCCTCCGTTGTGAGGGTTCTTCCTTCCACCAGGACATCCGTGTCTCTGGGCAACGGTGTCAGTCATGTGAATTCCTGTCGGAGAGTGCTGTGTTGCAAGTTAGACCGGTAATTCTTTGAAAGAGGAGTGTAAGGCTGGTGGTTTCTCAGCAGCAGCCACAATCTCATCAGCTGTAGAGGATCCCTCTGCTGTTATCTTGATGACCTGGAACCACTCTACTTACCAGAGCATTTCTTGGCCAGCTAGGGTGGTCTTGTGCTGGTGGGGTGTTGATTTGGTAGATGAAAGCATGAATATGTCAAACCCCACGATGGGTTTGGTCTCTTGAGCACCTTCTGAGGGGTGGACTTCAGAAGCAGAAAGCTTGGATCATTCTGGGAATCTCTAATAAGAGATTATGTGTTAATGGCACAGATAAGGCAGTTGGTCAGATGTTTTCCTTGGGTGTGGTTTTACTTACTAGTTGAGCTTATCCTGAAGAAATCGGTACCGTAAGGAGTGTTGTTTTGTTTCTGATTTCTAGCTTGAAGCTATTAGCTTTGATTGTGTAAAGAGTTCCTTTGTGATTGCTGTGGATGTAAAAAGCTTTAAAAGTCCTTCTTAGTGCTTTGAACATCATGTATAAACCTAGTTAAAGTAGACACATACACAGCTCTGCATTGATTTCTAATAAAGGTGGGAACATTGTTGATGAAGGCTGTGGATAGAATTTCAGATTTTGACATTAATTGGTAAAGATTAACATCTCTCTCTCTTGTAGGAGGAGCATTTGGTGGATTGCTTGGTGCCTGGATGACTACTGGACAGTTCAGGCCGGTTCCGCAGATTTTATTGGAATTGCCTCCTGCTGAGCAGCAGAAACTCTATGATGAAGCCGTTGTTATTCTCAGGAGATTGGACTGGACTGATGTTGCTCAGCTGACTGCTCTTGTAATGGGAAATGCTGGTCTCCAGCAGAAGTTGACAGCAGTGCTGATAAATTACCTCTCCAAAGAGCTAAGAGCAGAGATACAGTATGGAGAATAAACCTTTCTGGAGCGAGCTTTTTACAGTGTAATGAAGATTACTCTGACAATTGTCATTCTTCAACATAGTAATTATTACTTATGGGTACTAATTATGAGTATAGGCAGATCTAAGTATTATTTCTGGTCGGGTTTTGGTGTTTGTTGTTTTCTGGGTTGGTTGGGTTTTTTTTGTAAGGATAATATTAGATTATCGTATTATCCTGACACTGACTTACTATGTAATTTTGAATTACTCTGCACTAGGACTGAATTCAAAGTCTCTTGAAGGGAAATACGCTTCTCTTACGATGATGTATCACTAGTTAAAATTTTCAAAGTCATTGTGTTTTATTTAGGAGATTTAATCCTGTTTGTGTAAGTGCTTTAAATTTCTTCTGTGAATGACATATAGGTGCCAAAGTAGCTAGGGCACTTTGAAGAATTTGACCTACTTTCTGTTTCAGTCCTGCAAAGGAAAGCTGTAAGAAAGTATGTTATTCTACTGTGAACTCAAAGATCTCAATCCTTACTTTATTCTTTGTCTTATTTTTATTGTAATTCTTGAGTTATTTATTCCTTTCTGGAAAAAGTGAAGCCAATGCCTAAACAAGATTTAAAGCAACAGATAAACAAACTGTGCACAATTAGTAGTTCCTAGAATGGGAAGACATGGCAAGAATACACTTGTAAAAAAATGAGAGCTGAATCTGCCATTTTTGTACTGTCCCCAAGATTAGCGTTGTCATTTCAGCAGTGGTTTCTTGACTGAACCTGAACAGCTGGTCCTCTGTTTTCATTAAAATATTCATAAGAAGCATCATAGCGGTCTGGGTTTTGCTTTAAAGTAAATGAACTCTTTAAGAACTGGGTACTGAAATTTGAGGAAGAAGCCAGCCTTGTACTGGACAGCCAGCGGTTGGCAGTGCTGGTGGTGTGGGGTGACGTGCCAGCTGCAGTTAACGCTGTAAGCTCCAAACGCAACGTTGCTGAATATCCCAGCCAGTTGTTCACCGCTTGATTCAAGGCACTTGTAAGACAAGTTCGTAAGTAGAAAAATGTGCAGGTGTGCCACCTTTTATATGTAATAACAAGTGAAACTGCTCTGATAATTTCATTTTCCCCCTAAAATAAAGGTGTATCTGTGTGTGCGTGATGAGGTTTCTAAAAGCTGAGTTTTAAATGGTGAAGCTTGAAACTCAGAAGCTGCTATTGTATACATTTGATTAATTTACTTCTGCAGGTACCATTTGCCGTTAGTAAATTCGGTATACTTTCCTGCCTCGAGTGCAGGGCAGTGATTGTTCTTATCATCTGAAAACACTTTTTCAGTGACGTGAAAGACAGATGGAAGTGAATGGTAAGTGGGTACTCCTTACTCTGTCAGAGTGTCACAATGCCAAGCCCCAAATCAGTGTGTTTTCAGTTTCGTTGACAGATTACACACACCCCGCAGCTGGCTTTTAAAGACTTTATATACTCCCTATATCCATTTTAAAATACTATTTTTATGAATTCAGTTATTTTTATTTGCAGTTTTCTGGTTATTTCACAAATAGAATTCCCTCTTTCCAAAATAACACACTGCTAACAGCAGCTGAGGATTGAATGATAACAGTAGGATTCAACCTGCCGTCTTACAACCAGCTGGTCAAACCCAGACGTGAAAGAAGTTGACAGTTGACATGGCTGTAAAGCAGGCCATATTTAAGGTGTTGGTTTCAGTTAACTTGTAGTGATCTGTTTAAATACTGGATACTATTACAGATTTCAGAGTGGTTTCAGACAGCAGTATCATGACTCCCATTTTACAGGTATTCATAAGTTTGGGCCCAAATGTAGCTACTGAACTGATTTTTATCACTTGTATCAGCGTAATAGACATGAATACGGCTTAGATTATGTGAGTCCTGTCCTGTGCTCTCCTATATTACTTTATTTCTTGGGGTATTCTTTAAAATGCTTTATATTATATTCTTGGAAATTATAAACCTGTTGGAACTACGATCTTTCAGCCTTCGCTGCGGTATAAGGGGAGCATGTGTCATATGGATACCAACAGAAATCAGATTGAAGTAGTTTGTAGTTCTGTATGGACCGGTCTAGCTTATGTTAAACCCCACTGCTGCTGAGCTCCCAAGAAGCTTTATACTCTGTGCCTCAGAGTAGCATGCTCTTAGTAATTATAATAAATTTAACTTCCCTTGGTTTTCAGGTGACTGAATTGAGTTCTGTTTGTTCCCTGTATCTGTATTTAACAGGTTTGATGCTTCTGGAGCTTCTTGGAAGGTGGCAGGTACCTATTTTCAAAGTGGTACCAATAGGTTTGCAGTTTGGTCTGAAACACATTTCACTGCTGATAATAGAAGAACAGAATCCAGCCCAAGTGATCATCTGAAGTGAGTTTGGACATACGAGAATTAGGAAATAATCACTTCTGATTGTGCAGACCCTGATATGTAACTTGAGGGTGAATAGGCGTGGCCCCCCATGATGGTTTTGTTTGTATTTTAGTAGTTTATGACAGTTCATACTGTTGAATGCTGCAAAAAGATCAAATTCTACCTTTATTACTCTGACTACTACTATACTATCATGTCGAGGTCACTGTGATATTGGTATGTAGCCTTAAGGCGGGGATTTGGGCAAGTTAAAAGAACCGTTCAGCAGATTTGATCGTCTGAGGAAAAGACCAGCTGCACAAGAATGTATTAATATCCATCTGTTGCTGGTTTTGGGCAGAGACGGGGCTGTCCACTGCTGTGTGCCTTGTTGGTATTGGAAACGGCCACAGGCAGGGGATGGCATCTTCTGAAATCCATTCCAGCTGCAGAAGGTCCAGGCTGAGCGTAAGGCACAGCTGTCGCCTAGGAAACGAGGTAGCGCAGTGCCAGCAGTTTCGGGAAGCAGCTGAAGGAGTCACTATGGGGAGATGTACATATTTATATAAAGAAACCATCTGTGATGCTGGTTATTAACCTGGTTTGGTTATAGATGTGACAGAACCAAGCTAGGTTTTCACTGACAGATGGTGTATTTTTAGTTAAAAATTCCCTTTTTTTCTATGTATTTTTTTTTAAGCTGTCTGATTTCAAAATAGAAAGCAAGCATGGTTTATAAAGTGTTATGTTAGCAAAGAGAGGAAATATCTTTTTTTTTTTTTTTTTTAAAAAAAAAGGTGATCCTGAATTCAAACATAGATTAGTAATTGAGATGTGCCATCTAGTGGCAATTAGATTATTTCTTAAATTCAGCCTATCAAGGCTGCCTCAGTATATGGATAATGCTGTTACCTTTTTCCATGAAAAGTAGGGTTAACTTCTTTTTTTGCTCTTACTCTGTTAAATTCCTTGCTTTAATGAATTTGTGTTAGATTACAAATATCAGCCCAGTTAACAGACTAGACTAGAATTCATATGCATTCCCTGCTGAAGGTGGTTTTTTTGGTGATTATCAAACGTGAGCTGTGACTGCACAAATATTTACTGCAGCTGCACGTCACATTTAATTACAGTGAGAAAATACACAATCAGGCGGAGGAGGGCGGTTTCACCCTCATCGTTACTGAAGGACGAGTGGGTTTTGTGAGCTGAGCTGAGCAGCAGCCAGTTTGCAAAGACCAGTTGCCCACAGTTGAATTGGGAAGCCAGTAAAGAGGAATTGCTTGTTTCCTGGAGGGCCGCATTTTGCTGTGCAGTTTTGTCACCTCCAAGCCTGTACCTGCAGCAGCTCTACCTGCACCCGCACAGCCTTTGGAGTGGTGCTCCCCTCTTGCGTACGACCGCCCCGCGTGTAACTGCTGCTCGCTGCAGGACCGAGGAGTATTCGGCTGTGAAAATTGTCTTTTGCTAGTCGCTGTCACAGGGCAGGCTTCCTAAAGGTCCCGTTCCTGGTGGCATTGCGGAGGCTCCCAGGCTTGGTCCTCTGGAGGAGCACGAGAACTGTGACAGAGGGTTCTGCACCAGTTGAACTAAGGGTAGGGAACAGGGTGCTAGAGTGGTGCACCACGGTGCCCGTCATACTGCTTAATTCGTTGCCGTAGTTCTCATTAACTGGAGGTTTTACAGGGTTTTGGCGAGATCCTTCTGCTGCGGAAGAGGGTTCCCTGTACCGACCCTCTGACTGCAGAGTGCACAAAGAGCTGTAAAAGCAGAACACTGCTGAGATCCCCTTAACCGACGGATGTTGAGCTTACAGCGGGCAGCGAGAACCTCGCCAGCAGCAGTAATCTGCCCAGAAGGTGATCAGGCAGAGAGCTGCTTTGAACCTCAGAGCTGAGGTTCTCCAGAGTAAGTACGTGCCCCCACGAAGGAGGATCTGGTGGCCCTTGGCTCAGCCCGTTTACATCATCTTTGTCACATCATCTGTCACCACTCCAGTACGAAAAGTAACACGGATTAGCATTACATGGGCGGTTTTTCTAAGGACAGCCCCTCTCCTTCCAGGGCTGTGTGCCCGCCCCTACGGAGGGCTTTGCTGGGGAAGAACATTCCCAAAGGACATAGTCTCCATCTCTCTTGAAGAGGACTCCGGGCAGGAGGGGCTACTGTGAAACCCCCTGTGAGGGGTCTGCTTGCCAGGGGAAGCCAGTGGCCAGGGTTCCTCTGCAGGCTGCTGCTCCCCGCGGGTGCCTGTGGGCTGTGAAGAGCGGGGTGGTTTGAAGAGGTGCTTTGCTGCCTGCCGAGGGGCAGTTCATTTCAGGAAGCCGATTGATGGGCAGTAATGGTTTGCTGGATGGCTCGGGCTGTCACCCAGCTTCCCCACTCAGCCGCTTTTGTGTGAGGTGGTGAAGATGACACCCAGCTAGCGATGGAGGGCTGCGCGAGGAGGAGGTGACTGCTGGCTGACCGTAACAGTGGGGTGTGATACCATCAGCATTTTGTTGTTATTTGGTTTCTCACCTTATCATTTGAGATGATTCCAGCAGTGCAGTGTGTTGTACTGTCCACTGTAGCCCGATTACAGGCCACTGTGCCCTGCCCACACTGCTTTCCCCTCTCATAGCTCACAATCTATAGCTCC